GGAACCCCGAACAATCCCAGGTTGCCCCATTGACCCTATGTATCGCTTGGTAGTAACAGCGTAGAGTCAACAATCTATTAAATGCACACACACGAAAAGAGAAAATATACCACCAAAACAAGAAAATATACACATAAACTCAGAAATATAGAATGTATGTTTATTAAAATACATTACAGTTTGATCAGAATGTCACAAAGGTGTGTAGTGAAACAGAAACTCGATAAACTTGAAGATGTCAAAAAGACACATCCGTTTAGAATCACGCTAAGGAAAAGGACAAACACGGCGGCCATTCCGCTATGCGTCATGGGACTAGAGGGCACGCTACAGTTGATCAGAAGATTTAGCAAACTGAATCAGACGCAAAGGAATTTGCATGTTTAGCGACTGTTTGGGGTAGGTTGAAAGCAGAAGACCAAATAATTTGTATGTATACAAAACATTTAATGGGTATATTGATTACCATTTTATCGCAAGTAACTTAAGTACCTAATGCCAAGTGTTCAAATAATTTTGCACACCACTGTAATAGCTACAATTTACAAAATCAGCGACATCAAAACAAAATTGGTTTGTTTCTTTGATTCCACTCTGACCACACCAAGTGACAGTGCCACAAATCCGAATAAATTACACTGCATACAAGGAAATGCAACATCACTAATTTGAAATTAAATTCTACATACGTACATGTACAAGCAATACATTTTGGACAAAAATCATGTTTTCAATCAAATATGCATGTTACATAAGGGTTACATCAAATGAGGAAACAATAGAATAAGAAATTAGCTGTCACCTTGGACATTAGCTTAAACATCTGCAGAATAACAGGTGACACTGGAATGAGTTAAAGTGAACTTACCAGGGATACAGGATCATGAATGGCAACATCTCTGAATACCCCAGAATGTGTGATGGTTAGGATACGATTCTCACAAGTAGGATGCCAAGCAAAGGTGGACACTTGTGCGCCTCCAACAGCTACAAGTATTTAACAATGCAACATCAAACCATTCGAAAATACAATAACAAATCATACTTGGATTCCCAGCATTTTTTCAACACAAAAATGTTCAGACACTTGCCCAACACAATGAAAGCACCAATGGACCAATCTCGTACATGCAAACGTATTTCGTGTTTTCATGAGATTCACAAAATGCCAGGAAAGAAGTTCTAGATCACATTATATAATAGCATCACAGATTATGCAAATTCTCGAGATACATGTAAGTAAAATTTGTTGCCCGTCGTTGTTGGACTACTCCCCTTTTTGAAGGTCTTCCTGGTTCTGCATGATTTGACTCACATTTGAGCCATGTCACACTGAACAAATACAGCAGCACATACAACCTGCTTACACAATTTATTGTCCTCTAAAGTGACTGCAGCTAATAATTCACAGGAAACTGTATTGGTGTGTGGTAAGCAATTGTAACTTTTCACAAAGCCCAGTATCATTCGTGCCCACAAGTACCACAATTTTTGGAATATAGACCATGGCAGCTTAAACACTGGGCAACTTATACGGTAACATTTCAAGAATAAATTAGTCACAGAAGCGGCACCACAGCCTGGGTCATGCATAAAGGTTGTGCTCTGGGCAATGCAATCATGTTTTCTTTGGTCATGTTGGTTGCTGTTTACATTTGCTCTACTCACATGTTGGAAATAAAGGAAACCAATCCAGAGGGACTCAATAGACTCACAAATGTACCGTAAATACCACTCATACCTCACAATTTGAGTGGTACACCTGTTGGTGTTTGTCTGTTTTATCATGTAGTCTATGTTGATTATTATTTCACCGGTCAGTTGGTAACTGTTGACATGTTTTTAAATCACAGTACCATTTAGAAAGAACCACCCAACTACAATTATTCTGAAAATATGACTTTTTTAGACAACTTACTTTAAAAAAGGACAGATATTACAAAAAGGACAAGATGAAAAGATCAAAAGGACCAAGAAAAGTGAAATCTGAATGATAGGGAATTCTTTATTCCATTTTATTTTAAAAGGGACAACTCTTGAAAATGTGTGGCTCTGAAAAGATCCATGTGTATTGTTGGTGTTCACAACCCCCAATGCCTGCCCTGTCAAAAAAAAGAACTGCCATGTGGCCCATCCAGCCATGACATTCATCCTGCCCACCGTAATTGGTAATTTTGAGGACTTACGAAAGTTTTTTGTAATAGTGACACTCTATCGTTCATGTACTCTACACTTTTAGGATTGTATGCGCAGTGGAACCATTTTCATACCAGCACTTCAGCATACAGCATGATGGCTTGTGGTTGGACAAGGTCGGTGCTGTGGTGCAGCCTATACACTGGTGTAACTAATTCACTGACTTCATATCTGAATTTGCAAATTTTTGTGTGCTGCAGCTTACATACCACATGCCCCATAATCCAATAATTACCGTACATATCGATATTAAACTGGAACAAGAGTAACAAGAGTAAAACTTGTCCAATGTTTTACTTGCACCCATTATTATGCAAGGAGTCCAAATCTGCTTTAAGGACTAATATGTGCATGTATGCACCTGCTTACAAATTAATTAAGCATGCACAGATTGTTTTGGGCTCGATGTTAAAATCTTGAGAATAGAGTACTTACGTTGAAGGAGGCGTTCAGTGTATTCCACCTCGCTACCTATTCAGAACAAAAGAGCAAATGATACGAAACAACCAACAATAAAACAGTGTTTCATTCACTTTTTACTTCAGACTTTCTCTTCTTTCACAAAACAACTACCAAACAGAAAGGTTTGTTACAGTATAGTTACATAGAGTATTATAGATTGTGATTTGCCAAAAGCAAGCATGGGTACAAGGTTGTCGCTACACTAGTAAATATGTAAATTTATATATGTTCCTGCAAGATGTACCCTGCAATGTTTCTGCTACGATGGCCATTCTTGTTGACATTGATTGTAACTGTTGTGTTCATCGGTTTTTTGTTTTTTAATTGTGCCAATTTCACCATAATGTTGAATAATGCAAAAGGTCACCTCCAAACAAGAGTACACCTGTTGTGATCACTACATTTCTTACCAGAAAATTTTCCGACTAAAACAACTTACAAACATGCTGCACATTGTATAGCTTCACCACCGAACTATCCCTTGACAGTGAGGCTAGCAGGCCATAGCGAGATGGACTCCAAGCCAGTTTGTTAATTTGACGGGCTTCGTTGATGGTTAACACTTAAATTATTTTGATCAAGGAATAATAAAAACTGACAGTATGATGTATGGAAAGTAATATGAGAGCAGTGAACCTGCTTTGAATGGCTGCTGGAAGAAAAGTTGTTTCTAGTTTTACTGTAACCTTTTCACATAACATGTAAAATAAACAACACAAAAAGAAAATCATATACTTTGAATGGCTGCTGGAAGAAAAGTTGTTTATACTCGAGTTTTACTGTAACCTTTTCACATAAACATGTAAAATAAACAACACAAAAAGAAAATCATATGCAAAGAACATGCACCAAAAAACAAAATATATATATTATACAAGTAATGCATGTTTATGAGTGCAATGGTGAGAATAGTTGACGAAATGTTCCATTCAACGAAGGAAATGAAATTCTTACCATCAGACCATTGTACGAATGTGAAACGTTCATTATTTGCTTTATACAATGCCTGCATACATCTTCATTTCCTCTTCTGTTAGGAGAAAAACTTTCCTCACTTATTCAGCATATTAACGTCCACCATTTTATGAAATAGATTCATGTGTGCACGAAGCGTGATCATCGCCCACATGCACGCTACTAGTACCTTGCAATATTAGACTGGTTCCCATCTCAACATTCGTTTCCTCTCTCTAACTGGGAATGAAATATATAAAATAGGTGCAGGGACCAGTCAAGTGACACAAGGACTTATGCAAGTATTACTATTGCAAAGGGGACTATTACGAAGCTGGTGATTATGATGCAAATTCGGTCTTTTCATTTCTGGGCTACACACAAAGGCCAATCACCATATATACAAGAGCCAGGGTCTGCCTTCTTTCACTGTGTTTGCTCGAGCGAGGGCCGAGAATACCAGCTGAAAAGCGGGCCGAGGATCTCAATTTTTACGGCGGCTCTTACCGTCTCCCGGCACGAAGGGGTTAAAGCAAGCCTATCTGGAGTTGGGGGAGATGTCCTGCTTGAAACAATCTCCCTCTTAAAATGACAGCTGCAACTGAGACATCATCTGGTAGGACCAATATAATGACATGCGAGTTCTTCAAACCATTTCTTCACTTTCAGTAACAGGCACTGCATTGGTGTAGGTGTAACGGGGGTCTAGGGAAGCTTCAGCTCCAAATTTCTGAAAATTAGGTGAGCTTTTTCTATTTTGACCATGACTTTCCATAATTTCACGTGCCCCCATCACATTGGGTCAAAGGTGTCATTTTGATGGTCTGCACTGTTAACCACTCCCTGCCGGGTGCCCCGTTTTCGAGTACATAGGTTTTATATGCAGAGCCAGGGAGCCCGGAACTGGGACAAAAGAGTTGGGCCTTATAACAAAAGACCGTGCTCAGCACAAAAGACTGAGCTGCTGGTCATTACCAACATTTTTTCGCTCTCAATAGTTTCGCTCTCAATCCAGCCTTGTTTTGAAACAGTATACCACGGTTTGAGGCATGTAGAGCAAGCAGATTACCAGCGGGGACAACGGCTCTCCACCACCGCAGCGATGAACCACACAGCACCGCTGCACGCTAATCTGGCCCCTATTGAAAAGAGGTCAGCAGTGCACTGTGCCGGTTTCGGGAACAAAAGAAATCTTACGTAAGACTGCACAATCTGGGCTATTTTTCCAAGGCTGCAGGCCTGGCTGAAATATTCAGGAGTTAATGAATTTTACCTGTCAGTTTTAGAGTAGTGCCCAAACAGTCCTTCATTTTGGTATTAAATGGCCATTAAATGAAATGGTGAATTTTGAAGAATTTTAAAAACGGAAAATCTTGAAAATGAGCCGGCATCTTGTCTTGCTCAAGAAAAATCCATCCAGCAGCAAGTGGTTAACCAAAGACGGATATTTTTACTAGTCATGCAAATTTTTGACTATTAAATGTATATCTAAAGTTCCTTGATAATGGGACTACCGTCATCAAAACTTAATATATGTATGAAAATCTCTTTAACTCTAACCTCCTAGGGTGTATGAAATTGGAGTTAGAGAGTGTTACAGCTATAAAGAGAAAATCATTCTCCAGATTTGCAGAACTGGGTGACAAAAAATATGTCTTTTTATTTCACAAAATAATGAATTTTGAATACTGTCATTGTTGCTGATATATGACTACCATATCTCCACACTGTATTGACTAAAATGTTTTTATTTTTATGGAATATTTGTGTTCAAAACCAATTGTTCCCCCAAATTTTGGAGTCCTAGGAAGCCATCCAATCAATGCAGGCATATATGCATACGGCTCTTTTTTGATCCTAATAAAATTACCAAGAGAAAGGTTTTCCATTACACAGCCTCAAATTCAGGCAAACATTCTGATGTTTCTGAACACTGCATTTGCATAGAGAGAGTAAACAGTCAAATTGTGCCAGTAAATTATAGTTAAAATTGTACCTAGTTGTATTTAGCAACTGGCTCCTCCTCTACTGGGTTTCATTTATGCCAGCACTGTGTCAATGTAGGTTTGTAGGGGGCGATCGGTACATCTGCACCATTGCTCAATCACGTTGTGCTATAATAGCCATCAAGCGGAAAGAGTAGTGTCCATATACACATGACATGTGAAATTCTTTCCGACATGATGTACGGACCTACCCTGAATGACGCTGAAATTTCTCGTTTCCGTTGGCTTGATGGCCACCAAATGAACTTTTGCGTTTGACCCATGAGAAACTAGCACCTTTCTGAAGGCTTTATATACAGTGCTTTCCGACACACCAAATTTGATACCGTGGTCCCAAATAGTTATTTGGTTGGCAAGGTACATTGTACCACAGGAAGTTAATGACTTGTTTCACCGGGAAAACTCCTTCTAACGGACCTCCAGGGGCTTTGGGGAATAATGAATTGTGGATGATCTGCAGAATATATTCAAAGGTCCCGATGGATAGATGAAAAGGGAAACGAATTCAGATTCCTACATGACCAGAATTACCTCTTCGGAAAACCCATGGATAATTAGTTCTTGCTTTGTTTTATCGGTAAGTACTGACATGGATGTTGTCTATAAATGTAATTTTAACTGTAAATGTGTTTTTATACCCAGTCTGAAATTGTAACCGATATAATTCTGTTTTATTATAAATTATACTGTTTAACTTATTTACTCTGAAAAGTACTGGGCATCAGTGTAAAACAGCAATAGCTGAACTTATTTAACCCAGGTAATCAAGAATAAATAAACAAGTGCAAAATCAGAGATTTGTCAGCCATTTTGGACTGGTTTGTCTCGCCGCTTTGTCTTTTTACACTCTGCCCATTCGTCACAACCTGCTCGAGAACACTGTTCTCTTGTCATACCAGTGTTGTAAAAAAACAGGGATTCAAAAATGATCTTGAAGTCGAAATCTGTGCCAGTGGTTTAAGGGAGAAGGGGCTTGCAACTTAATTACCTTCATCCCAATTCAAGTATGCAAAAAACAGCTCTGTATTGTTTAAACTATGATCAACCTGTGGAGTGTTCCTCTCCAGAAATTGAAGCCTAAACATTCATCTCAAATAATGAGTGACCCCTACACATGTGACCCAGCAAAGCTATCGGTGGGTTTCACACAAATGTTTACATGTATCCAATGCTACACAGATTACTTGTGCAATTAAGTGGCATGTAATTGCTTCTGATTATGTCCACATTTCAACTTCTTGGACAGTAACACCAGCCTCTGGATGTGATTGGTGAGCCTCTGGCCTTAGCCAGTTGATGTGGAATTTTCTAACCCGAAGAAGCTGCTAGGGGCATGTTTTTTACCCACAAATTTTTCGACCTTGCAATTGTGCTTTGACCCACCAAGCATGATGCATTGATATGTCAACCACGGAAATGAGTGTACACATCCTCTGTGGAACAAATAAGGAAAACTATGTGTGTTTACACGTCATCCCGCATCAAATGATTAATGGTGATGTTCAGAATGTTCCCTGAAGGCAAAACTGTGTGATTCAATGTGCCATTCAAAGACGGTGGTATTTCTGTAGTTTAGATGACAAACCATTATAGACCTCTCTCTGAAAACACCATCTTTGCAGGGAAATTACACCTGGGTATTTAACTTCATCCTGTGTGTGTGCAAAAGCTCTATATAAGTGCGCATATTGATAAAAATATCTTTGAAATATGGTGAAGCAGATGTGTGTCATGAAAATTGGACATCAAAATGCCATTGCTGAAGGAAATCGGTGGGAAGTTATGTCATTTGAGAGACCTGTATGGAAAAATATACTAACAATGAAACAGAGCAAAATACAACAAACAAAAGCACATTAGGACAGATCTGACAGCAGCCAAACATTCGTTAGATAAACTCTAGGGAAAAAAACAAACAGTAAACATCTTAATTCTATAGAGGGTATAAAACTGCACCAAACACAAGGAAGTCATCTAAAAAAGAAGATGAAATTCCAAACTGAGCAAGACTTTTGAACAGCGGAGCTTTTTCAAATAACATTGAAATAAATAAGGAAATCAGTAAATATAAGGAAATGCTGAATTCCTGGCATTAGTTTTTGGCTCTTCAATAATTATATATAACGGTTTGCCCGTACCCAACGTATATTAATAAGCACTGTATGCTCAGTGCTTGTCCGAGAGCTTGCGAAAAAAACCTCACAAGCTTACTCGGGTGGGACTCGAACCCGCGACCTTCTGCTTACTAGTGCAGATGTCTCTCGTACCCAACGTTGGGTACGGGCAAACCCTTATATATAATTAACATCTTCCCAACGCAAAAATACATCTTGAAAATCGTTCGCGGTACCCGCTGCTTCATTTGACTCGGACCGGCAAACCGACCCCAGCAAACTCGGTGGTCGAGTGGTTAAGACATCTGCACTAGTAAGCAGGAGGTCGTGGGTTCGAGTNAAGCACTGAGCATACAGTGCTTAGTAATATACGTTGGGTACGGGCAAACCGTTATATATAATTAACATCTTCCCAACGCAAAAATACATCTTGAAAACCCTTCAATAATGCTGACAGGTCATGCATTACTCAATTTAATGTAAAAGGCTGGTTCATCCTTGGCCCAAAAGCGAACACGAATGTAAACTTGGGAAGTCATTTACCTGGGGAAGTCACAAAACTTGAAAAAATATCAACTCAAGTGAAACTTTACTACAAATCTTTCGTGCCATCAAATTCATTTCACTTTCATGTTCACCTTTACATGTACTGTAGCCAAATTTAAAATTTGAAATTTTGCCAATGAAAAACATTTTTGCAAAACATTATGTATGCACAGAGTCCATATTTAACAAATGTTAGTAACTGAAAAGGATATTGGTTTATCAAAGTGTCTATGGTCCCAAATATTGACCTGTCCTTCATGGTAAGAAGATAGCCGATAATCCACCTGAGGGTCTGCAGATACACCATAGACTGACTTGGTAGCTGTAGCAATCTTATACCCTGCTGTATCTAAAAAGCAATCAATGAAAGTGGGAGCAATTATATAAATCACTGGGATTACTGATAAACATTGAAGTACTTTTAGAGTTGAAAGTTTTTACAAGCTTGATGGAAGTTAAAGTGGTAACATAAATCTTTCCCCAATTATAACATGGGCTCCTGCGAGACCCTTTTTTGCAAGTATCAGAAACAGTCATTATGAATTTTTATGAATTATTATTTATATGGCCTTGCACATACATGTATAGTAAACAATATGGAGAACATTACAATATGAAAATAATGAACAATTGGAAAAATAAACAGGGAAAGAGTGGGAATACAGAGTGGCAGGGCAGGCAATGGGTAGGAAAGAGGTGTCAGGGGAGTGGGTGGGGAAAGGGGGGCTGGGGTTGGGATGTAAGGAGGAAGGGGAAGTAGTACACAAACCAAGAACAGTCCAACCAAGGGTGGCCAGGACGAACAAAAGTGAAAGGCACTGCGACTTGAAAGTCTGTTCATTCAGCCCAAGATTTGACGATTGACAAATAGATAATTTGGAATTAAGTAAAATATGCTTTAAAAATTTAAACTGGATTGCACATCAAAATTAATTGATTTATATAAATCCAAGAAAAGGAAAATTAAAAATTACCATATAAACAAATAAAGTAGGATGTACTAGACTAAAATTAGTTGAACAATGGTTGAGAACATCTAAACAGCAATGACATCTAGACATTAAAAAGTGAAAGTGTATTTTGCGGTTTAAACATAGGAATAATTCGAGTAGCAAAGAGTCCTTCATGTGGGTTGGCAACTGACTCCATATGTGAGGGAAAACATGAACAGGGGAGTTTTTGAGACTTTAGGTTCTAGCATAATCATCATCATGGTGACGCCAGTGCACCAGCAGCGCACGGGCGTTGCTCAGTGGCTAACATAATAAGTTAATTGTCCGTTTCCATTGTTCGGCGTTCAGAGTGGCTTGTTGTAACTGATTGAGGCTGATTCCAACAATCCTGATATCATCAGAAAGTATTTGGTAGGTTCGCATAAGTGTGCCGCCTCTACGGTATGGTGCTGTTGGTTGGTTGTTTCTGTCCAGGAATGATATGATACAGTTTAGCATTGGTGATGCGATCAGGGTATCTGATATTCAGTGCGTAGCGTAACAAGGCTCGGTGTGATGCATCCATTGTTTTCTCGAGTGTTTCTGTCAGCATTCAGCTAGCCCCACTGTAGAAGAGCTCTGACTCGATGCACACGGTAAATAGTTTGACCTTCAGGTGATCACTTGCTGAACACCTCCAAACCACGTCGAGTCTTGGGCAATCGACCCATGACAGATGTGGTCGGCGTTTGAAAGCCGAGTGGCTATTACTAACGTTGCATTCCAAACAGCAGAATTCCGTGCACATGGGTAGCGGATCCCCTGATCGTGTATGGATTGGTGTAGTTGAATCAACACCAACGTACATGACCTCAGTTTTCTGTGGATTTACACACAGACCCTCTTATAGTGAAGTTCGTTCAAACAGTGGAATTGACACTGTGCTGCTTTGACTGTGTCACTCATCGGTACAACATCATCAGTGAAAGCAAGGCCAGGCAACTTAAAGCCAATTTGCATGATGACAACCGTCGACGAATCATGTATCCATCTTTATCTTCGCATAAGGAAATGCGGAGAACATAGTCCAGCACAATGATGAACTATGGGGCTAAAGTGTCACCTTGCAACACGCCAGATGTAGTTGCAAACTGACCAGTGTCAGTCAGTAGTAGACAGTAACATTATACCTTGAACTTAAAACTGTAGAAACTTTTCCGGCAAACACCTAAATTGAGGAGTAACATCTCCAATTTAAACTAGAACATGTATGTGCTGTAGTAATGTGACAGTCTATCAATGAGCTGAGTTGTTCTGGATGAGATGTACTATAAAGAACTATACATATGCTTACGTTTGTGGTGGAGCTTGGGATTAGGTTATATTGTGTGATCTATTTCGAAGCACATATAACTGTTTATGAAAGGCTTAGATTGGAGCGTTAAAGTCCAGTTCACAAGTCCATGCGGGTAGGTGGCTTGACAATTCGTCCACTTCGGGTGACATAGGGTGGCTTTGTGGGGCTGACGTCTTGAGGTGCTGGTTGTGGACTCAGGTCAGGTTTATGGGTCTGGTGAGGGGTACGTGTAGTCATCTTGGGTTTTGGAAAAGGTTCGAGCTCAGGGTCTGTTATGACTGCCGGTGGTGGTTGTTGGTTTGCCACGTGGGTGGAGAGACGGAGATGTCGTCGATTGCGTCGGTATTTACCCCCTTGGTACTCCACTATGTATGATCGTGGGGATTCGTGATGATCTACCACAGTGGCTGGAACCCACTGCTTGGCACCTGGAAATGGTGCAATCCTCACGGCATCTCCAGACATCAGTGGCGGTAAGTCATGTGCCTTTTGGTTCAAGTAGTGTTCCTGTTTGCCCATGTCTTGTGCAAGGAGGCGTTGTATGTCTGATGTCTTGTGTGTCTTAGAACGAAGTAGGGAGCGTGCAACAGGTAGCTTGTTTCGAGGTCTGCGACTCATAAGGAGTTGAGCAGGTGAGAGATCACAGCTTGCAAGTGGGGTCGTACGGTAGTCAAGCATCGTTAGATGTCTGTCACTAGTTTTCTTCCATAAGCGCTTGACCATCTAAATGGCACACTCAGGGAGATCAGGTACCTTTGTGGGTTTGAGTGTCTCGGAGGGCTGCTGATTCTGGTGATGGCTGTAAACTCTGCAATCTGCAACAATGTCCTCTATCAGGTGAGTCATTCCAGGCCAGAACATGGCTTCACAGGCTCTATGCTTGCATTTGACCATACTCATATTTGATACATGGATCAGGGCAAGCATGTCCTTCCTCATGCTTGGTGGGACAACAATTCTCATGCCCTTGTAGATGACTCCATCTGAGAATGCGAGCTCATCTCTGGTGTTCCAGTACTCGCGAACGGCATGTGGTTGTCTTCTGTTTGGTATCGGGCCAGCCTTTCCGGATCATTGTGTGTAGCTCATTCAGTTTGTCTGCACTTTTTTGCTGGAACTCACTATAGCGTGTTGGTGTTACTGAGATGTAGTCTACCATGTTGACGATGACTGGCTTGATGTCAGGTTCTGTGTCAGGCAAGTTAGCTCTGCTGAGCAGGTCTCCGAGCGGGCTCTCTTTTCCGGGCTTGTGACGATCAAGTCATATGGTTGTAGTTTAAGGAGCATGGACTGCAACCTCATTGGAGCTGACAGAAGAGATTTGGAAAAGATCGCTTGAAGTGGTTTGTGGTCACTCTCAACCGTAACGATCTTGCCAATGATGGAATTTCTTGCAGGAGTGGACAATTGCAAGAATCTCCTTCTCTATCTGAGCATATTTCATTTCTGTTGGTGTCATGGCTCTGGAAGTGTAGGCTATTGGCTTGCCTTCTTGGAGTAGAACTCCACCAAAAGCATAGCTACTGGCGTCACATGGTATTGTCGTCTCTTTGTGGACGTTGTAGTAAGCCAGAACTGGAGTTGCACTGCAAAGCTATTTGAGTTTGGCAAAGCTTTGCTGCTGTGGTTTGTCCCAGTGGAACTTCACGTCTTTCTTCATCATTTGACGAAATGGCTGATCAACCTCACTGAGGTTTGGGATGAACTGTGCGAAGTACTGGATGCAGCCAAGAAACCTTCGGACACCCTCTTTTGTCTGGGGCTCGGGTATCTCTCTCATTGCTTTGACCTTATCAGGATCAGGCTTCAATCTGCTGGCAGTGACAAGGTGACCAACGTACTTGACTTGTGTCTGTCTGACATGATCTGATTGTGGTGTTTTCAATTCTTGCCTGCGATCAGGATGTCATCCATAATGGCACGTGCACCGTCTACACCCTCCAGCATAGTGTCCATGGCTCGTTGGAAGTTTTCCAGTGCAGTCTTTATGCCAAACGGAAGACGTAGCCATCTGAAACGGCTGATGGGCATATTAAATGTTGTCAGAAGGCTTAACACGTAACCAAGCTTAATCTGCAGGAAGCCGGACTTGGCGTCTATAACTGAGAAAACTTTTGCATCTGGCAAAGATGCCAGTACTTCTTCGACTGATGGGATTGGGTAGTGTTCCTAACGGATTGCTTTATTGAGATTCCTTGGGTCGGAACAGATTCTCACCTTCCCATTTTCAACCATGACGACCATGGAGCTCACCCAGTCTGTTGGTTCCGTGACTTTCATGACACGCTGTTGTCACGCTGCATTTCCTGTAGCTTGCTGACTATCTTTGGCATGAGGGCCTGTGGCTGGCGTCTCGGGCCATGCACTACTGGCTTAACTGACGGGTCAATCTTCAAGGAATATTTTCCTGGAAGGGTACCAGTGGTCGTCTTAAGCTCAGGGTATTGCTCCAGCCCATAGACTCTGTCTATGAGTCTAAGTTGCTTGCTGGCATCTCCACTGATGAGTAGTGGTTTGCTTTCTGCCTGTACAACGTAGTATGGCACATCAATGCACACATTTTTGTGGCATGTAGGCAGCGTGATGCACCCTTTCAGCTTGTTGCTGGTGTATGACTCCAACTTGCGGTCACTTGGGCTCAGCTCTTTTGTGCCTTCAAGTGTTTGGTAGATGTGGAGTGGCATAATGGACTGCGCTGCTCCAGTGTCAATCTGCACCTCTAATTTTCTGTTGTTGATCCAGACTTTTTCGTACCACTCGTTTGAGTCCGATTCATCATCTAATGCATTGATGAGGTGAGTGTATTCTTCCTTTGAAGAAAACACATCACTTTCTGTTGTGCCTTGGGCTGCGGCACCTTCCATACTGTGTGCTGCAAGGCGTTTTCGGCACACTGATGCAAAGTGATTAGGCCTGTTGCAAATGTCACAGGTTTGGATTTTTGTGGGGCACTTTCAGTGGTCTGCTTAATATCCGCATTTGTGGCATTTCTTTGCAGGACCTGCTTTGGTCTCTGATCGCCTGGACTTTGTTGGTTTTGCACTCTCTTTGTGATGGCTA